TCAATAAGATTTGTCCATGAGATTTCTTTCTGCTGTGTGTTATTATTTAATGATATTTATTTGTAGATATTATAAATATAATGAAAGGTGATAAATAACCATCAAAAATTATTTGATGAATAATTTCACTTAAAATAGAAATAATTAATTAAATAACAAACTTATGTTTGACAATTATACATATATAGATATATATAGTTATTATACATATATACTATGGCAGCCATCTTGAAAAATTGCCGCCATCTTGGATATTTTTGGTGGCTAACGGGCTTTTCATAAAGACCATGTTATTATCTATCTCCACTCCAAATTTGATGCTTGTACCACAAACTGAACGATTATTTCAACTACCAGCTCCACTATAGTGTACTAGAAGTTACAGTTAACTAACCTCACAGCACTTTTAGGTGGAAGATAACGAAATGGTAATACAAAGGGGCAACTGTCAATGAATACAAAAAGGCACACAAGTGACTTCATGCTCAGCTGGATATATAAACAACGTTATTCATAGCTAATTCGGAAGTAACAAACACCACGCAAACTGCAATGTCATGTCAACTTTTCCAACTAGTTTGGTGTAATCTTTGACTTACCACATCAGTTGAATAGATAGAAGGAAATGATCCCTCTTTTAAATGGAGACTTTCAGCAAATCCTTCGCATTACTTCATCATCTTGCACTTGAACTACAAACCAAAAACAAGATGGCAAACTCAAAGAGCAATTAGACGGAAGTTATTTAACTTTTATCACCTTTTAAGGACATTTCCTCTGAAATTCAGTGAAGTAACAGATCAGAAAATGTAACAACATGGCATATCTAAACCGGAATTGAAAGGTGTCTAAAAACGATATAAAGACATTTGTACTGATAATGTACTGATAACAGCACTGAGACTGCTCTTATCAAGGTGACAAATGACATCCGCCTGAACACTGATGCAGGCAAAGTCTCAGTCTTGATCCTCTTAGATCTGAGTGCTGCTTTTGACACTGTCGATCATGGGATCCTCTTACAGAGACTAGAGGACTGGGTGGGCATCTCTGGTACTGTACTAAACTGGTTCAAGTCCTATCTAGAAGACAGGAAGTATTTTGTTGAAATTGGAAACAGTGTCTCAGATCACATGGCCCTGACCTGTGGGGTGCCTCAGGGGTCAATCCTGGGCCCCCTGTTGTTCAATCTCTACATGCTGCCATTAGGCCAGTTAATAAGCAGCAATAATGTGTCCTACCACAATTATGCAGACGACACTCAGATCTACGTCTCTCTGGCAGCAGGAGACTATGGACCAGTGGACTCACTTGGTCATTGCATCCAACAGATCAGTGTGTGGATGCAAAACAACTTTCTCCAGCTAAACTCTGACAAGACTGAAGTCATAGTGGTTTGGTCCACAGAAACAAAGGGACAGTGTCAGCAGTCACCTCCAGTCTCTCTCTCTAAAACCTTCAAATCAGGCAAGAAATCTAGGTGTAATAATGGACTCAGACTTGAACTTTAACAGCCACATCAAATCAATAACATCTGCAGCCTTTTACCATCTAAAAAACATAGCAAAAATCAAAGGTTTACTGTCTAAATCAGACTTGGAGAAACTTATCCATGTGTTTGTCTCCAGTAGATTAGATACTGTAATGTTCTGCTCACTGGTCTCTCCAAACGAGCTGTGAGACGCTGCAGAACATCCAGAACGCTGCAGCTCAGGTCCTTACTCGAACTAGGAAGTACGAGCACATGCGTCCTGTGCTCAGGTCTCTGCACTGGCTCCTGTGGCTCAGAGACTTTAAAGCAGCTCTGCTTGTACAAGTGTCTCCATGGCCGAGCACCAAAGTCCATCTGTGACATGTTAGTGTCATATGAACCATCTCACACTCTGAGGAGCTCAGGGACCGGCCTCCTGCTGGTGCCCAGAGTCACGACTAAACAAGGGGAGTCAGAGTTTCAGGTTCATGCAGCTAAAACCTGGAACAGTCTTCCTGAACATGTGAGACAGACTCTTCTGTGACGCTGTTTAAATCCAGACTCAAAACATTTCTGTTTAACTGTGCAAATAACTGAAAGGTTTTCATTCCGCACTCTTCTCTCCAATTTTTGTCTCTCTTTTTTAATTTTCATCTTCATGATTATTTATGTTTTGATTTGTTTTTATTATGATTTTAATGTATTTCTTATTCTGTAAAGCACTTTGAATTACTTTGTGTACGAATTGTGCTATACAAATAAACTTGCCTTGCCTTGCCTATGTGTTATACATACGTCATGCCAGTAGGTGGCATTGTTGGATTCTTATTAATGCCTGAAGCGCTGACTAAACGTTTACACTAAATGGCATCCTGTGTAAGTTCAGTCAATACATGGTACCAGGAGTAAATCTAAAAAAAAAAGTAAGCAAAGATGAACAACATTCGACCACCAGAGGAGTTAAAACTTTCTGGGAATGTCAACGAGAACTGGAAAATCTTCAGGCAGAGTTTTGAACTTTATTTGCTTGCAGCTGGACTGGAGGATGAAGAGGAACGGCGCAAAATAGTACTGTTGCTAACAGTAGCTGGTCGTTTGGCGTTGGATGTGTACAACACATTTGAGTTTGACAGCAAAGAAGATTTATATCTAAATGATGTTCTTACTAAATTTGAGGAGTACTGCACACCAAGACAAAATGAAACCTATGAAAAGTATGTTTTAAAAAACAGGCTGCAAAAAGAGAACAAGTCCATTGAGCAGTATACGACAGATCATGAAACTCTGATACACTCGCTGATTCAGTGATTCATGACCAGATAGTGATTGGAGTACAAGACAAAAGAGTTTAGTTTACACTAAAATGAGTAAGTGCAGTCAATACAATATCTTTGCAACTACTGCAGGGTTTAAATTTAGCTTTTTTGAGTCAATACAGGCCCAATATACCCAGGAGACACTATCCAAAAGAGAAAAAGTTGATTTAGCATAATATGTGGTCTTTAAAGGCTGCCACACACTCAAGAATTTTTGTCTTGAACGATTTTTAAACATGCAGCACAAAGTGTAAACCACAGACACAATAAGAATGTTATGAGATTTTAAATATGCAATCGCAAAGACTGCAGCAGGGTATGGCGGTGTAAAACAGACTAAAGTTGTGAGCATTTTATGTCTCTTTACACTTTTCACTCAGACTAATTGCATAGGGGCAGACGCAAGTCAAAACTGTGTTATTATTTTTTGTGAAATGTGGTGCAGTACTTCAGATACATGTGTTTTTAATGCACAGAAGGCTGACACAAGAAGTAGAGTCACTATTACTAATCTGCAGCTTCACCTCAAATGGAGCGCTGCGAACCTGTAAACCAATCTAACTGTCACTGTGATTATTTTAGCTTTGTCTAAAAACGTCGTTTGTCAAAAGTTTCACCACATGCATCACGCACCTGTATTAAAGCACCTGTCTCTGTCTGATGCAGTTTAAAAAGTGATTTTTATAGTCGAGTTTCGCTTGAAACTTTCCAGTCCATATGCTCCCACGCACAGAACACACGTGTGCTTGGACGCTGCAGTCATCAAAAAGGCACAACCATAGTTTGTTGCAGTTGAAGGGAAGAGAGAAAGAGTAAAAATGTTTAAGTAGGAAAATTAACACTGAGGGAGATTTATTAAAAAGGAGAGACATAGTAAAATAAAATAAAACAGACCTGCAGAAGTGCTGTGTTCCTTGGTGTTCACAGTCACTGATCTACAGTAATTCCAGATATTTTATTTTATTTCTTCTGCAGCTTTCTTCTTCATTGAATATTGATGTGCCCTTAGACTCAATCTTAGCTGCCAACCAGAGGAGGCAGCTGGCCGAGCAAGTAAGAAGTGCAGCTTGTACAGTTATAAAGGACATAAGGTAAGTACTACAGTTTCATTGTGTGATTTGGGTGATGTTAGAAACTTTTTATTTTTTTTATAATGAAATGGGCTTTCTATAAAAAATATGGCAGAAGATGTTCCAGAGGGTATGTCCCCTCTCATCACTGACCGAAACAACAGTGGAGAGAGAGGGAGAGGCTTAAGAGAGGCTTTCCTGTTGCTTGTCCAGAGCTCACCTGCTCCTCTTAGAGGCTACTGTGATGCTGCAGGACACAGAGGACACAGAGGATGGACACTTTTGTCCTGAGGGCTATTACTCATCTCAATTTGCCCTGACTCTGGATCTGATGACTCTACCTGTTGAACTGCACTGAGACTTTTGTTTGACCATTTGTCATTGCTATATGTGCTTAAATTTCTCCTCAGGGACAAATCAAGTCATTTTGATTTGATCGCTGTGCGCAGAAAATAAGTGTGCCTCCCATTAATGATACTTCTGCACATCAAGTTTGTCAAGTTGTTGTGTACAGTTTTGTGTAATGGTTTTGTACAAAGAGAATTGTCATGAGACGTAGACTTGTGGGATGAGCATTTTAGGCTCATACTTAATTGCAAGGACTTGGCAACTAGGGTCCAGGAGAGATTGTTAAAATACTGAAACATGCATGGAAGACATCTACCACATCCTCAGACATGTTTTTGACATGCATACGGTGAATTGCAAAAATCAAGATCAGAATAGATAAAAGCATAAATAATATTTATAAATCAGAGGCACATAAAAAAAAAAATTTTTTAAAACTTGATTGAAGATTAAAATTTTGATATTGATTTTGGAAATAAGTTTCAGGTGATAAAAAGCGAAATTTAATGTGTAATTTCTTGTTCAATATAGATTAATACCAAAATTCAGGCTTTATGAGATTTATTGTTGATAAATAGTAATTATTGATCAGATTGTCAGATTGTCATAAATGGTTAAATGGCTGAATGGTTAAAAGGAGAAAAAGGTACACTGTAAGAACTAATTGTTTTTATATCGCTCTTACGGTGTGTTCACAAACAAGGCCCATAATAAAAGTTGTGAATCATCATCATATGAGACCATCATTTCAACCCCCCCATACCAGTAGACAGACTGTGCTATATATGTACTTACTGTATGGGCTCTCGTCATGTGTGCCTGAGACCTGTCCGTTTGGAAACACCTGCAGATGGAAGCCGATGCCCACGTTACAGTAGAGCCTTCGGATGCGCTTTATTCCCAGCAGGTACTCCTGGTCCTGGTGTGGGGCATCTGGTTTGTCCCAGGGGCCCACAGTGTCAGACAGCAGTGGCCCCTGGCTGTGTGTGTGCGCTCTTCTGTTGCTGGGGACGTGGCCAAAGACAGAGCCCAGAAGCACTGAACACCAGAGCCATGTGAGTTGGGGCCACAAGACACATGCTCTCAGCTTCATGGTCCAAAAAAGAAATTTAAGTGAAAAATTTGCCTTCACCCCAATTCAAAGCCTGGTAAAAGTGAAAATGATTTCATTTATATATTTCATTTTTTTTCATTCTGGTCACAGGACAGGAGGTTATGGTTTGACTCCAATGGAGCAGTGAGAGTCCATATTTATGTGCTGCAGATACGTAGATCATAGACCCCGCTGTGTACGGCATTACAGGGGGGCTGACTCAGCTTCTGCTCCTCACTTCAACTTCACTCATGGGGCTCTTCCACAGAGAAGCTTTAAGTGCTCCGATGCTGAGCGGGTGATGAACACACAGTCAAAGTGAATTGTTTTGGAATCACCTTGCATTTGGATTGTTTAGCACTGTCATACAATTGTATCAAAAATGGGTAGTAGTTACATTTACTTGAGTAACTTTTTTAGAGAATTTGTCATATTTAGTGTATTTTTCTTTGAGCATACTTTGTTTGTGTCCTTTGAAAATACCAGATTTTGACCATTATTTAATGTTTTGTCCTTCAAATGACATTAACTTAAAATTATAAATTAAATGTTGTCCCAAGAGTTACTCTTACTTGAGTAGTAGTTTTCCCAAACTTTTTTTACTCTTACTTGAGTAATACTTTTATTTGAGTGTAATTATATTGAAGTACTCTTATTTGAGTAATATTTTTATGAGGGATCTGGCAGCAGACCTCCACTCAGAGAACCCTCATGTGACTTACCTCCATCCACAGTAAAAATAAACAGCCTCCATGCCAAAACAGCACCAAAGTTCACTATTGGAGGTCACTGGGGTTGAGTCCTGGAGGTTTGGAGGTCATTTATATTGTTTAAGAAAATAATCTCCACCTATTGAATAAAAAAACAAAAAACAAAATCACATCTTACCTTTAAAGGCCGCCATACAGTAAAGGAGAATTTAGGCTAACTTGTATGCTGTTTTGAAGCCGCTGCACTCCTCGTGTGTGGTGTTAGTGTGACTCTGTCAGATCGTAACCACCAAAAACCAACAATGCTACATTAACAGCCAATTTTAACAGGAGGAGACGAGTGATGAACACAGAAGCACAAGATACAAACTCAGGAAATAGCAAAACTAAATATAACTCCCCTCTCGTAAAGTTGTAAATTTAAATTACAGCATCTCAGACCATTTTCTCAGTTTTCCCAGATTTTGTCAGAGTTACTTTCGCCAACTGAGCCCAAAGGAATTTGTCATCTGTTTGTTTCCAAACATCTTCCAGTTTTGTGACATAAACGTGAATAGAGCCTATTGACTCAAAAGTTAAATAAGAAGCCCATTTTGTTTTGAATTCAATATACAGCTACTCACAGTGTGTGTAGCTATCCATCAGAGGTGCCAATAGCTCTTTGTTGTGATGACGTTTATGGTGATGTCAGCTCACATTATTGGGCACCACAGTTTTCTAATGTGGAAGTCTTTTTTTTGTTTGTTTGTTGTTTTAGACAAATACTGCAATTTAATTAGCAATTTCATGCAAATCAATGCAATTTAAAATTGCATTAATTTGCATCCACAGGGGTCATAGATTATAACTATATAGCAGACACAAGCACAGTAGGTCTTGTCCACACAAGTGCAGTGTGGCTTTACAGAAGCGGGCTGATTCCTCCTGACACCTGGTGCGTCACTGTGCTCTGCATGTGGAGGCAGAGGCTCTTCAGCAAGAGGCTGCTGAGTTCTTCAGTATACATGAGCCCCCAGCTGCCTCAGGCCAGGGGAACCAGAGGCACAGCAGGGCAGTATGCATCATGTCCTGTCTCCTGTCACTATGCTCACCACATCCTGTTCAATAGGCATTGTATCAATTGTACCATTTAAATATGCTAATTTCACTAACTCTAACTCTATAGGAGAGTCACTTTTTGGAACAAATATCCAAATATATAATATTTGTTTTTTATCATTCCATATAACTCTCCAAGGATTTAGAAATTATTACGCTTAGTGATTTCAATTTGATTAATTATATGTCTGTTATCATAGTAAATTTCAAATTGTATGCACTGACATATTGATTTATGGTTTACATTTATAGGGATCTAAATATACCCAATCTGAAGCTATAACTGTTACCTTTATATCAGCTCAATTTCGTGCAACCTCTAAAAGGAATAGTCATTAGGAGTTCTCTGGGGAAAAAGGTTGCTTTGAGGATTAGTCCCACTTGCCACATTATGGATTAAAGCTCCCATTAGTAAATTTATTAGATTTTTTTCTTTTTTTTTACCAGTAGATGGCAGGTGTGAAACCCATTACCCCCTCACCTGGCCCCTCACCTCAAATTCTGACCTGTCCTTCACCAATTTCTATTTGCATTCTAGAGTTCTGATGGGACAACCTATTGGATGGGAGACAGAGACAATGCCATCCCACTGTTTCAATAAGACTAAAACAACAGCTGTAGTAAAGTAAAGTTAGATGATTCCAAGGCTGAAATAATAATGAATGTGTCTGAAGTTTAAAAACATAGGAAAACACTTCCTGTATTACCACTTCATGATGTTACAAGGAATGGATTGTTTTCAGTTTGAGAATACATTCCAGTATTTTTCAGAATGATTGTATGAATATCTTGATAGGTCTGTGTATAATTACTATCATAGAATGAGGAATGCCTATAGGGCATACATCAAATCCAGAGTACTGTACTGGAATTCCACTGGACCTGTCACCCGCCGGAAGTTGTGATGACATCATCTCTTTAGAGCCCCATTGGCATTAGTCACGTAGCTGCCCACTGAGGAGACTGCAACACATGACTAAAAATACAACAACACTATGCACTAGAGAGCAGGGATCAAACCACCAATCTCAGTGGATTATAGTTTTAACTATTATATCACCTGGGGGCTGTTTAAAAACCACAGGAGTGGCAGAATAAAAAGAAAACATGAATATGGTTATGGTACACTTTATTGTCCTGATTCCCTCACATCTCAGAAGCTCAGCAGGGCTGGGCCTGGTTAATGCTTGGATAGGCAACCTCTCAGGAAAATCAGGTGCCACAGGGGGGCACCAGTGGCAAAAACTGCCGTGTCCTTAGGCAAGACACTTCACATTGCCTAGTATGAAAGTGGTGTGTGTGCATGAGTGATGGCAATCGGAGGGGCTGATTGTGCAGCCTCACTTCTGTCAGTCTGTCCCAGGGCAGCTGTGGCTACAATAGTGGCTTACCACCACTGAGTGTGGAGTGAATGAATAATGCTCTGTAATGCTCTGTTTTTAGCCAGGGGGGAATTCATGAACAGCTTGCACTTCTGGAAGAGTTTTTGTTTTTTGGCAGGGTGACAGGTATGGGCCTAAGGTTTTCAAAAATCCATGGATACAAGTTGGGGTGCGCCCCCTAGTGGCCAGTGTACATAAAATCCAAAATGGCCCCCGCTGAAAAGAGAAAAGGTTATATCTCCACTTCCTTTAGTCTTAAATTGTTATATAACGTTATACACACACACACACACACACACATACATATACATATACACACACACACACACACACACATATATACAGAAAATTGTTGGTACCTCTGAAAAATCAACAATAATCACTGAAATAACTTGACACTGAGAAAAGCAACAATAAATAAAAATGTACTGAAAATTTTCCAACAAAAATCAGTGCGTGTAATGAAACTGGCCTGGACAAAAATGATGGAACCCTTAATGTAATATTTTGTTGCACAAACTTTTGAGGCAAACTCTGCAAACAAATGATTTCTGTAACTGTTAATGAGACTTCTGCTCTGGTCAACTGGTATTTTGACCCATTTATCGTGAACAAAACGCTTCCTTCTCCAGACAGCATGTTTTATTTCCTTTCACAGATGTTCAGTAGGACTGAGATCTGGGCTCACAGAAGAACACTCCAGAACAGTCCAGTGTTTTGTTCTTAGTCATTCTTGTGTGTTTTTAGCTGTGTGTTTTGGGTCATTATCCTGTTGGAAGACCCATGACCTATGACTGAGACTGAGCTTTCTGACACTAGGCAACACATTTTGTTCCAAAATACCTTGATAGTTTTAAGATTTCGTTGTATTACGCTCTGTGCCAGATGCTGTAAAACAGCCCCAGAACAAAACCAAGCCGCCTCCGTGTTTCACAGTAGGGACAGTGTTCTTTTCTTGGTCTGCTTCATTTTTGCGTCTGGGAACATAGAGCTGATGTGTCTTGCCAAAGAGCTCCAGTTTTGTCTCATCTGTTCAAAGGACATTCACCTAGAAGCTTTGTGGTTTGTCAATCTGCATTGTGTCAAATTCCAGTCTCACTTTTTTATGATTTTCTCTCAGCAGTGGTGTCCTCACATGAAGTCCACTTTGGCTCAAACACTGATGGATGGTGTGATCTGACACTCATGTACTTTGCCCTTCAAGTTCACATTTAATTTATTTGGAGGTTGTTCTGGGCTCTTTGGTTCCATTCGTATGATCCATCTCTTCAATTTGTCATTCAATTTGTATTGGTTTATGGGTTTTAAAATTTAACTGGTGTATGGTTTTAGGGTTTTTCTGTATATAGCTGGTGGTTTTAATAGTTATCTGGTTTTGGGTTATTTTATGAAGGTTTAGGTTCAGATTTAAGTTATTGATAATTTTACCATCCCTATTTTAGCTATAGTAGTTTTATCCAATCAGTAGGACCAGCATAAAAGGCGCCTCAATACATCAGTCTGTGTTCTGCTGCTGGAGAAGAAACAGCTGCTTGCCTCCATTTTGCACCCTGCACTTTTTTTTTGCACCTGCACTTTTTGTAACCTTTGGAAACAAAAAGTAAACCGTGGACCACTGCTTCCTGTCTGTGTCTGGATTTTTTAACCTTACTCACTGAACCCAATCCGCTTTACGGTCAACCTATGTCACAGGAGGTCAGGGGGCAACCCCAACGAGATGGGGAATGATGAGCACGTCAGTGCCCATCATTCACCAATGACCCCACGGTGACGTGGGGAAGGTCGAGAGCTTTCAAAAAACGTATAATATGCTGTTCCAAATTTTACGGATATATTGTTTTTGCTAAAAAATATTATTAGGCCTGAGCGCCAGAAGCTGGCGAAGGGCCTATTAGTATTGCAACAGGACTATATCAGTCTGACTATTTAATAGATATTTCTGCGGCCGGAGGCACGAGTAGCAACATAAATATACAGGAAAAGATGGAATAAAACTGTAGAGAAAAAAAAGGATAGAGCTAGGGGTTTTCCATCAGTTTCAGTCATTCCACAGTCCTCATAAGTTGCACAGCAAATGTTTGTTTCATACATTTCGGAGAAGAAGAAGAAGAAGAAGAAGAAGAAAATACATAGTTCTTTATGAAAAGCATTGAAGTTTGGGCAACTCTTTAGAATCTATTTTTATGAATAAAAAAAAAAATCTTAAAATGATTATGGAGTTAATAGTTAAATTATTCTGATATTTATTTACAACAAAGCCATGCATAACATTTTCTAATTTAATATTTGAAACTGGCATATGATAGCATATACATATATATATATATATATATATATATATATATATATATATATATATATATATATATATATATATATATATATATATATATGGCATATATTGATAACCTGTGATGTAAATCCTCCCAAAATGCATTACTATACATACGTCTAAAGAATATGTGATCAGTAGTTTCCATAGTGACCTCAATTAGTGATCTCAAATACAAAATGTTTCCAGAGAAAGTCAGCAGAGGGGTAGATACCATTCACAATTTTAATGAATCTCCTTTGCTTTTGGTGCAATTGGCAATTAGAAAAATTTTGATCTTAATTTTTTGAGCTTCTTTTATTGTGAGGAAATTGAGAATTGGCTTTTAAGACGTTACAGATAATAGAAATAATTGTTGGTTAAAAATGCACCAAATTTCACTATTTTTAAGCTTAGAGTTAAGTAGATTGTGACTGTCCACCATAAGTGATGTGAGACAAGTTTGTACATTATTTTGATTCAAGTTGGAAGCCATTATTTTAATAGCTTGAGGTATTGCTTTCTTCACTACCATGTTGTACTGAGTTTTATCAAATATGTTGAGTTTGATCTAAAGTTCTCAAAAGAAAACATTTCCTTTCTAGTCAAGCATATGTGTTAAAAACCATATAGCTTTTTCTAACCAATTCTGTAAGTGTATAGATTTGCGTTGGTGTAGTACATATCGACAGTTCCAAACTGGGGTTGGTTCGGTTCGGTTGTGCAGGTGTGAGTACGGAACATAGAATCCTAGGCAATCATGCTTACGCACAGCACGGTTCAAAAGACATAGTGTGAGTGTGTCCTTAAAAATAAAATAAAATAAAAAACGAAATAGTTACTTTCCCTAGTAACTAGTTACTTTTATAGTGGAGTAACTCACTTACTTTTTGGGAGAAGTAACTAACTGTAACTAATTACTTTTTCAAAGTAACATGCCCAACACTGGTCACAGCAGTTTGTGCCACTGGTACCCCATTGTGACACCTGTTAAAAAGCTTAAAAGGGGCTAGCTTACAAATAAAGAGTCAACCGCCAGATTTCAGGCATGTTCATATCAAAATGACAATTTCTGAAAATGCTTCAAACCTCGCGGTCGACTCGCTGACCATATGATATCCAGGCAGGCGCAGTTTACAACAGTCTATGGCCACGACCAACGGAGGAGGAACCGGAAGTGACGATCCGGCTGACGCTGGTGTTTACAGCTGAGCGGAGTGTTGAGCTGGTAAGCACAAATCGGCACAAACGTGGAAAAGCCTGAAAAACCGCAGACCAGTAGACGTCACCAAACAACTGGACACCCAAAACCAGACATGATGTCTTGTAAATGAGTTACGTCGGTTCCCATGCGAGGCTACTCGTCACGCTGCTACTGTCTGCCAGGCCACCATCCTGCTCCGGAGTTCCGCAGCCAAGAGTGGGTCCTGGGTTTGCCAGGTGCATGTAGAGCGGACAGCCTCCTTCACCTTCATCATGTGGCTCAAACTGCTCTTCTTGACTCTGTACTTGCTACTGTTGTTCCTGCTTGCACGTCTGTTCGAGGCGGTGGTGTGGTGTGAGGCCGGGGTCTTGGCCACGCAGCTAGTGGACCCGGTCACTCTGAGTTATAACAAGCTCAAAATGATCCTGGAGGCCCGGGGCCTAGCCTACTCCGCTCTGGCTCAGAAAGAGGATGTCCGAGAGCTGGTGGAAAAATCAGGTAACTGGGTGAATACCGTTGAGCGGTGCCTCTGGGCTCATGCAGTGTTTATAAATCAGTAAATTAGGGATAGCCTATGTATCATTTTATAACAAAGAGATATTTTACATATCTCTTAAATGTTTGTCCACCTTATCATAATGGATAGTCCCATCAGTCCCAGTTTATTTAAATAAACAGCTTGGTAAAGAAATGTCTATTGTCCAAACGTTCAATCATCTTCTCTGTTTAAGTATGCACACATATTTTGATCAAGCTCACCATGTCCCTACCATCATAATATCTCCATAAAAAATATAATTAAAACTAGGGATAATAATAAGGAATAAGGGTTAGGGCCTACCAGAGGTGGGACCAATTCATTATTTGGCAAGTCTCAAGTAAGTCTCAAGTCTTTGACCTCAAGTCCAAGTCAAGTCACGGCCCATAAGTCCAAGTCAAGTCCAAGTAGTCTGCTTTGAGCTTCATGTCATTTCAAGTCTTTAAACCAAAGCTTAGATTTTAGCAATTTATATGAATTTTAAGGTACATTTTACTTAACAAATCATAGTATACTGATATATGAGAATTTATATAAGAGTTGTAGAAATGCAAATTTTTCCTTTTTAAATGTCTTGACAAGATCTTAGTGCAAATCATTATGGTCAGAAAGAAAGAGAATTCAGATTTGAAAGTGCTTCTAAAGTCTTTTCAAGTCACAGGCCTCAAGTCCAAGTCAAGTCTTAGTCTATTTTATCAAGTGGAGTCTCAAGCCCTAAAAATAGTGACTCAAGTTTGACTCTAGTCCAAGTCACGATTTGCAAGTTCCAACCTCTGGGGCCTACTAGTATCAGATATTGGTGCTAAGAATGCAAATTTTGCATTTTTGATGGATTATGGGCTCGTGTATTGTTGGTTCCTCGATATCCAGTTTTGGTCTTTAAATTTTGTTCTATAAATTGGTGATTTTATATATGTGTGTGTGTATATATGTGTGTGTGTATATATGTGTGTATATATAATTATTATTATTATTATTATTTTTTGGTACCCCTCTGGCAATGAAAGAAAAATCAACAATAATCACTGAAATATCTTGAAACAGAGAAAAGCAATAATAAAAAAAAACATTGCTTTTCACCTTTGATTAAACAGAATTATTAGAAAAAAACAAAATAATGAAAATGGCCTGGACAAAAATGATGGTACCCTTAACTTAATATTTTGTTGCACAACCTTTTGAGGCAAACTCTGCAAACAGACGATTTCTGTAACTGTTAATGAGACTTCTGCACTGGTCAACTGGTATTTTGACCCATTTCTCATGAGTAAAATGCTCTAGTTGTCTTAGGTTTGAAGGGTTCCTTCTCCAGACAGCATGTTTCAGCTCCTTTCACAGATGTTCAGTAGGACTGAGATCTGGGCTCACAGAAGAACACTCCAGAACAGTCCAGTGTTTTGTTCTTAGTCATTCTTGTGTGTTTTTAGCTGTGTTTTGGGTCATTATCCTGTTGGAAGACCCATGACCTATGACTGAGACTGAGCTTTCTGACACTAGGCAACACATTTTCATCCAAAATACCTTAATAGTTTTGAGATTCCGTTGTATTTTGCACAGATTCAAGACACCCTGTGCCAGATGCAGTAAAACAGCCCCAGAACAAAACCAAGCCACCTCCGTGCTTCACAGTAGGGACAGTGTTCTTTTCTTGGTCTGCTTCATTTTGCGTCTGTGAACATTTTGTCTCATCTGTCCAAAGGACATTCACCTAGAAGCTTTGTGGTTTGTCAATATGCATTGTGACAAATTCCAGTCTCACTTTTTTATGATTTTCTCTCAGCAGTGGTGTTCTCACATGAAGTCCACTTTAGCTCAAACACTGATGGATGGTGTGATCTGACACTCATGTACCTCGCTCTTCAATTAAATTTGTTTGGAGGTTGTTCTGGGCTTTTTGGTTCCATTCATATGATCCATCTCTTCAATTTGTCATACATTTTCCTCTTGCAGCTGCGTCCAGGGAGGTTGGCTTCAGTCCTGTGGACCTTAAACTTGTGAAGAACTTGTAACTGTAATCACAGGAACATCAAGCTGCTTGGAGATGATCTTATTGTCTTTTATCTTTAACCTGTTTGTCTGTCATTTTCTTTCTAGTCTCCTGACACAGTTCTCTTCTTCTCTTTCTCTGGTCCATGTTCAGTGTTGTGTCCATCATGTCTCCAAACAGCACAATGACACATGTCGCCCTTTAAACAGACACACTGACTGAGGACTTGAAGACACCTGTGATGCAGATTAGAGACACACCGAAGTTTAACATGTCCCTATTGTTCAGTTACTTACAATCTTCTCTAGAGGTACCACCATTTTTGTCCAGGCCAGTTTCATTATTAAAAAAAAAAAAAAATTCTGTTGAACAACAATTCAAAAACAGTGTCTGATTTTTATTGGTTATTTGCTTTTACTTGATATCCAAGTGTTAACATCGATATCAGAACTGAAAAAGTTGGATTGCTACATTCATAGTTTAAAAAATTAAATTCTCAGATTAGCCACAATGAAAACGAATACAAATACGCTTAATCGTCAAAGAGGGGGTATTTTACTTCTTCAGGGTAGTTTCACTTTGGTTTTTGATATTCTGAAGTCACTCCCCCTTTACAGTGATATCACATTACAATCTGCATGTGTTCCGCTAATGAAACTACTGCACTTCACATCAGGATTGTATTGTATTTTTTGTATCATGCTTTTGTATATTCATGGAGAATTGTTGTGTGGGAGCATGGGTGTTGTAAGCTCGTTTGGCGGAGCATTGCAGAAATGTTCCACCTAACTCTAAGGAGGGTTCTAACATTTATATTTCATAATGGGAACAAAATAAATACATTTACACCTAAGTGAAGTTTGACCAAATTCACCCAACTGCCCCAAAAGCCTCTATGAGACACAAACAGGCTGCAGACCCCTTTACATAAAGTCCCTTGCTGCCCCTTTTCTGGCCATTTTAAACTCAAACCTTCCTGTGGAAGATATTTTAAGCTATAGTAGCCTTCTGACTCATATCAAGAACAAAAGTATCTCACATGATGAATGTCTTGCAGAGATGAAAGGTGCACTGCGTAACATTTCTAGTGGAGGGTCCGCCGCCTGCTTGTCTCCGTGGAAGCAGGTTATAGCACTGTGCTACATTATAATTCAGATCTGTGGAGAGTTGCTCCTATTCACCGAAAATATTACTGTATTTTTGAGGAATACACCCATACACCCATAATGAATAAATGCTAGATGGATATGTTTGATGCCATATCATAGAACCTTCTAGGCAAAACAATAACATCTTCCTGGAGACAAGTAGGTCTCATGATAATTTACATTATGTTTTTAGGTTGAGTGTTTTCATTTTGGTAATGTATTTTTTAATTTGTATTAGGGGATTTGTCACAGGGGGAGTTGTACTCTACCATAAAGAAGGAGAAGGAACACCCTGAAGGTGACGGTGGCACCACTCACTTCAGTGGAGAGCTACACTTCTATGAATTAGTGGAGGACACAAAAGATGGAATCTGGCTGGTTCAGGTAAAACACTTGCTAGCATGTAAGATAAGAGGCCTAATTTAGCCTTAGCTTAAATAATAATAATAATATAATACTAAAGCTGAAATTTTGTTGTACAGGGAACCTTAGTATTGACCCCATTGTAAGGTCTCACAGGTAAGTGAACTGAGACCGGAAACAATAAGTAGAAAGTTTTACATGTATTTAGCAGTAATGATTACATATACACACACTTTATTTAGAACAAATTCTTAGGACTATTTAAAAACTCTCACTTTGTGCCTTCCCTTAGTCTGCCTTAATGGCAGAACTCAGCCTGAGAGGAAATTGATCCTCCAAACTTTCCAAAGGTTTTGTGCACAAGTACTATTAAAGTGTTTTCCATAACTTTTGTTAAGAGTATGGTGGCTCTTTTTTTTTTTTTTTGAATAATTTCATCTTGTTCACTTTGAGGAGTATAAATGTCACTTACTGCCTATATTTAATTTATATTTAACAGTGTAGTCTCATAGGTTTATGATAATGATATGATAGCAACAAAGCATAATATAGTCGAGTTTATTTTAGACTATGGGGGGTTCACCGTAGTCTCCTATAATATAATGGGAAACACTGCTATTACCATTGAGCCACTGCCCAGATAACTAAGGGGGAAAAGCTCTAAAACTATATGGCAGATTTGGATAAGTTTATCTCAACATGTTTTACCCTTTTGGTCTAGATTTGTTTGTCCACTGTATTTTGCCCTGGTGGGATTACTGCAGCATTTGTGTATGTATGTTCTAGGTGGTTGCTCAAGGCAGAGAGGCACTGCTCAGTCAATACAGTTGGAGGAAGATGGTGAAGAAAGTTTCTCAATTTGGCATCAGAACTGGAATATTTAACTGCTCCAGTGATCACAGGTGATGCACATGGGACATATATCATGTATTTATTGTTTATTTATTTTGTAAACATAACACACGCAGCTCCTGAAACCAGCACTACACCAGAGTTAGAAGAATTCATTTAATGCAAGTGACTAATGTTTCTCCAGGTCGTGTATGAGGCGGGGCTGGCATCAGTCCACTCTCATCATGTCTGTTCCTCAGACGTCTGCCTCCAAAGGGAAAGTGATGCTGAAGGAGTATCGTGGGCAGTACACCGACACAGAAAACCTCTCCCACTGGGTTACTGGGCAGGTGGCACAGCAGATCCACACCCTACACTGCTCTGAGCAGCTGCTGCAAGAGTGGTACTCGGACCATACCGTTAAAATGTTCCTGTTTGCTCACCTTCCGCAGCCGCCTGCCTTCTTCTCCTCTCTCTCAGTAAGATTCACTGGTCGTATCAAGTTCATCTTTGTCAACATTTGCCGCTGGAAGAACCATAGCAGCCTGGTTGAGATAGGTGTGACCCGCAGTCCTGCCTACGTCCTAAAGATGCCTGAGGGGATGTACTGGTATGGAAAAAGGTAAAAACTAGGATTTATCAACTGAGACAGTGGAGGTTTATCAAGCATGAGTTATTTTTTGAGGACCTCACAACAATATGGGCACACACATTATGTGGAAACTAGTGCATTTCTCAGACTTGTTCTCGCTTTGCCACCTGGAATGTTCACAGGGTACAGGATACGATTGATCTGTACATGCTTTATTATGTTTTTATTATTTACAAGTAACTTTGGCTGGCGTTCCAAGCAACAGAAAAGCAGCATCAGTGGCAGTGTTTTCAAAGTGCCTATTATTCTATGGAAAAAACTATACCACAATGAAAAAAGTTTATACTTTTAATAAACAGAAGATTAATATGCCTCTCATTTACAGTGTTCATTAACATATCTATATTGTAATCACAGTATTGAACAAGGTAACGGGGGCACTGTGGCTGAGTGGCTAGAACTCAAGTTTCACAGCAAGAAGGTTCTAGGTTTGACTCCTCGTCACCCAGGCCTTTATATGTGGTGTTGCATGTAAAGTCCTGATCGAGCCTAACTCAAGATCTGGAGAATAGTCTGTGTTCATGGCACTGACTGTAGGTTGCCCCAGCGATATTGATGAATGGGTAATGTGATTTGTTTGTGTTTCAGTCCTGGGGAGTTCCTCTCTGTGTCTGCAATGGACACATTTCTACGCTCAGTTCAGCCTGAAGTAAACGACGTGTTTGTTCTCAGTCTGCTGCTCATCAACCTGCTGGCCTGGATGGACCTCTTCATCACACAGGTTTCCCCCACTTTCTTCAACTGTCTTTTGCAATAAACCTTTCTTGTATCATTTGTTGATCTGTATACATCATTCTGTCTCAGGGAGCTACTGTCAAGCGCTTTGTGGTTCTAATCCGAACTCTTGGAACCTACAATTCTATCCTCCTGGTGTCATGGCTTCCAGTTCTGGTATGCAGTTTCTCTTTTCTAGTTACATCTGCCTTGAGGCTGACTTACAGAGATGTGGCTACCATTTTACTCCAATGATCTCTCTGATCAGCCTCAATCACACATCACATTCATATTTTGACTATGAGGTATCCTCCCAAAGGTCCCTATTCACCAATAATCACTGGTCAAAGACTGTATTGTAGATGTATGTAGAACCTGTAACTTTCTGGTTACAAGATGACCTCTCTATCACATAGCCACTTTTACTCACTTCTATTAATGGAATACTGTTCTCTTTGAAGAATGCCCTCAAAATGTTTTAGAACTCAGTGCCATATTTTATTTACAGTATTTTCCCTGAGCCGTAATTGGCAATGCTATCAGTTCCCACCAGTGGGCTAACTGGACAGGTCTAAAACAAAATGCCAGACCACTGAATTAGGACTGTACTGAGACAGTACCAAAAACATCTGTCAAGAAGTCTTTCATTGGGCCCGCAATAAACTTTTTTAGGGTAAACAATTAACAATCCTCAAGAAATTTATAAGAGTCAATAATGGGAATATTTCGGGCATAAAATTGGATTGGCTGAAAATTGGCAGAACCCTATCACTGAGACATTTTCCCTATATAACTGTTTTACCAGCAGAATTACCAATATCCTCCACGGTAGTTCCATGGGACCAAGGCCAAGGACCATTCCACTGTGTAGAGATACTGAAATTGTTCAGACAATCTTAAGGTCTAAACATTGCTAAAAATTGTCACAAAAATAAGGCCTGGGAAAAAAATCCCATTTGAGTGCTTGATACTTGCAATTACCTAAAATTATGGTATGTATTCACCATAATTAACATTATCCCACCAAACTAGATAATCCTTTGAAACACATGAAAACCTGCTGCCATGCACTTCAATCTTGCCCTGATGATGTCTGTATCTGTTGTAGGCTCTGCTGCAGCTGCCCTATCTAGACACTTTCTATAGCTACAGCCTGAAGCTGCTGCGCTATGCTGATACCACACAACTAGTCAGTTTAGTGCGAGCTGACTGGACCTTCTATTCGTCTCACCCAGCCCTTTTCCTGTCCACATACTTGGCCCATGGTCTGCTAGTGGATTACTTTGAGAAGAAGCGCCGCTGCAGCAGGAGAAGCCTGGAGGACAGCAGCACAAACTTAGAGTGGTTAGCCAGTCTGTGGGACTGGTACAGCTCCTACCTGCTCCACCCTATCACTTCCCTGCACCAGTCTGACCATTCGGAATGGGATGAGGATACCAACTTCTTATTCGAACGATTAGCTTTTCCTGATCTTTGGCTGCGTCCACTTGTGAACCTTGACTATATGAAAATTCTGCCGGTCTGGAAGTTTAAAAGTGCTCAGAGTTCAGTGACTGTATATAGTCCAAGTGGAGCTCTAGAGGAGCAGGCCTGCCTGGACAGGACATCTGACTCTGAGTGTGACGACAACACCCTGCTCTGTGATTGGTCCGAATGGCCTCATGACATTCTCCACTGCTCAGAGTGTGTTATATGTTTAGAAAACTTTGTGAATGGAGAGCTGTTAATGGGTCTGTTTTGCGGCCACGCCTTTCACCAGAGCTGCATTGTGGTGTGGCTGGCAGAGGGCCAGCACTGCTGTCCTGTGTGTCGCTGGCCAAGTTACAAGAAGAAGAGACCAACAAAATCTAACTCCACTGTCTCCTCTGAACCTGCCTGACCAGTGCATCTCGTCTAAACTTTTTTCTATATTTTGGTAGCTCTCATGATAATTTACATTTAAATTGGACACACATGCTCTTTAGTTAAAACATTCATCATATGGTTTACCTTTATTTAATCAAGTTCTAATGAAATTCAGAATCAGAATCTGAGTTGTGGCCTCAAAATGGACATATAAAATCTCTTGTTGGGAACTGAATGCAGTGTGTTAGACTCAAAAAATATTTTACAAAATGTGAATTCATTTGGAATAAACAAAATATTATTAAGTAACTACAGAAAACAGACTAATTGTCTAAAAACATATTTCTTGCACTTTATCTGAAGTGAACAAGGTCTTGGTGATTACCGAATTAATTTGTCAGGCTTACTGTTCTTTAAATGTCATTCTCTTTGAGATTTTAAGTTCAGATTTTTGACATGAGCTAACTCATGTAAGTCACAATGAATGGTATTGGGATACACACATTTAAAATGCTCCACAGACGTTCTCCTTTGAGGCATGAACAATAAACTACTGCAATTGTGAACTCACTTCCATTCATCTGCAATGTTATTGCCATCATTTGAAAGAATCTTAATTTTCCTACTCACATGCTTTATGATGTTATCATTTTTCTGGGACACACTCATTCCATATGTGCTACTTAAAACACTGGCTGCAGTCACATGCTCAATCAAAATTTGATTAAGGTCAGATTTTTGGAGTTAAGGAGGAGGTAAACAGCAAAAGCATTGGATTGTCTTTCTGATCATGGTCCCTCTGACTACCCATATCAATTTTACATGCGGTTTAAAAAAAAATAATTTAAAACTCCATAAATCATCAGTGTGCATGTAACTTGTGGAAGTATAATAGGATGTAACTGCAGCAGAGGGCGGCCTTGAACAACAACTCAAGGCCGCCCTCTACTGTCTCTGCCAAAAAAAAAAAGCATCCATGACTTTTAAAAAATGTATTTTAGCTGGCGCATGATTGGACTTGTTAGTTCATCAAAAATACACACACAACCATAACTTTAAAAGAGTATTTTGGTAAAACAAAAATATTTTTAAATGTGTAGCCTCATTCTCTCGTTCTCTCACAAAACGCCTTAAAATGTGTATTTATTCTTATTCTCTGTCAAAAAACGAACGCATTGAAAATATGTGTAGTGTATCTCTCTCTCTCTCTCTGTCTCTCTCTCTGTGTCTCTGTGTCTCTCTCTCTCTCACACACACATACATACGTACACACTCGCTCACACACAGTGGTTGAACGGAGACTGACGCCAGGGAGACGCCAGTTGGGCACCTCTTTTCACTGCGCGTCTTCTGTTTAGCTCAGAGCGCATATTTGTCGATGCACACTACCCTGGAGCGGAACCTCGGGAGACAAGATCACGCCACTACTGCCAAGGGAGAACTTGATGCCCATACGAGAGCGTTTGCCGAGTTTTAGCACTCGCAACAGGTAACGTTACCAAACATGTTCCGATGAGTGTCGGCCGTGTTGTCAGCTGTTCTGTTGCCGCTTATGCTTGTGTTGTGCAGACTGACTGGAGCCAGTGCCTTTAGGCAGCTGTAACTTGTGAAAGGCGCAAGAAGGTGCTGTTTATACACAGAAAAAACTACCGAAACTGCCTTAACACACGTGTTGATAGAGTCGTTGTAGCAGAGCGCGGTCTTGAGCAGTCTCAGATGATTCCACAGCATGAGTGAAGTTTAGTCAGGAGGTTGCTATGCAGACAGACTGGAGCCATAGCAGAGCTGCAGCCGAATTAAAGCAACAGGCTGTCCCAGACGAGAGAAGCCTTCTGTAGCCTACTGTCCAGCGTCCACACAGTGAGTTGCAGACCGTTATAAAGATTATACTGGCCTATATCTTTGTGGAGTCTGAGCCGTACAGAAATGCAAAAGAACAGCATCTGATTTTTTTTTTAAACAAGTTTTTTGTTTGGTTTTTTTGTTGTTGTTGTTGTTGTTTTTTATAAAATAAGCATGTTTCCCAATATAATTCAATTGAATCATATTGGGAAATATGCTTATGCTTAATATTCACACAAAAACACATCAAATTTGATTCACTCCCGAGTAAAATTTTAACTTGTAATCTTGTTGTAATAAGGATGTCTGTGTGTGGTATTGCTGTGTTCAGCACAAGGATAACACATAAGGCTCCCAGATATTACAATTTTAATATTACTGACAGATTTAATGTTTTTTTTCAAAATGTCTGACATTGACAAAAATATTGGATACTGCTTAGACAAGCTGAATTCTGAAGAAAAATATTTACCAGAGACATTATTAAAGGACTTAATGACATTTAATGGAATTCTATTCAAATAAAACAATTTCTAAATGTGTTTTTGAGCAAGTGAACTACCTGAACCTTGCCAGAGGATACACAAATTACACAGACTTTTCAAATTGACTTTTACGTGAACATTATTTTCAAATAAACAGCATACAGATCTCCCTTAAATTCAACTTTATAAGTATGCCAATTATGACATTTAAAAAATGCTGTGTGGACCTGTTTTGTCATTGTTTATTTATTTTCTTTGCAGAAGTGCTACAAATTTAATGAGTGAGGTGCACACACAAAAATTTTAACCATCAACATCACTAAAAACCTTTAAAGCTGTTGAAATGAAGAATCCACTTGAACTTAGTGGTCCCATGAGCCAGTGTGCCTTAGCAGCCTCAGACACCCACAAAAAGTTTAAGAGGAAGGCACGTGAGCCAAGAAGACTCTTTCATAGCTCCGACACAGGAGAGGAGAGCTGTACCAACACTCTGGCCCAAGAAGGATTATCCACCTCTGCCTTCACTCATGTGGAGATCCCTCACTGGCCAACAGCAATCTCCCAGCCCCTGTGTAGCCGGCTCCGGGTGGGGCCCAGGTCCTCTCTCAGCAACAACCAACAGGAGTTGCCACTGAACCAGACACCATTCAGGCCTCAGTATGAAGAGGAGGTGGAGCACAACTCCCCATCACCTAAGGTCTGGGTCTAATAGGAACTTGTTAGACACTTGACCAAATGTATGTACAAATATCTCATAGTACTAGACTGCGTGCTAAACAGGACACTGTATGTTGTTACTTTGGCAGGAGTGTCAGAGGCTAAGGCCTTGTTCAGAAGCAGGCAACCATGGTCCAGAGGTGAAGGCAATCCAGCAGACCAGGAGGCTGCTGGCCAATGCCCGGGAGCGTACCCGTGTACACACCATTAGCGCTGCCTTCGAGGCTCTCAGAAAACAGGTGGGACACTACTTTTTCATTTACTATACAGCTAAAACTGGTATTAGACACGTTGGTAATTAATTATATTTCTAAAGGTGCTACAGACATTCCATTTTCTCTAGAACTGGAGTTGTCCGCTCTTAAAGAAATCCACCAGTAAAGGCCCAAATGTTATAACAATGAGAAATGGCACAATAGGAGGGTTTCAGTCACGTGATCACGATGATGCGCGAATTTCAGGTGGAGGGCAGGAAGTGAAGACAAACACGACAAACAAACACGGCTCTGGAGAACACAGATACGGAGAAGAGTTCTTATTGTCAGGATTTAGAGCCAGTAGCAAGGCAAAAGTACGAGCAGTTAGTCGACAAATATATTGGACGTGACCCTGATCTTATTGAAAATGAGAGAATTTTCAACCGAAGTAAAAGATTTGCCTATAATGGAGGCAGAGGAGATCACGAACTATTGAGCTCTTCAGACATCGTTCTACACCAGACAACAGATGAAGGCAAAGTACAAAAGTTTGGAGGCATAGAACTTTTTTTGTGAGTGGATGGGTCCTCAACCTTGGTGCAAAACACCTAAATGATGATTATGGTTTGGTCTTCGCCGGGGTGAGTGTTTCTCTTATTTTATGTGTATAGACGTTATGGGAAAAACTGCAGTGTATCAGCAGTAACTGATCTATCCCAACTATATAATGTCAACAAATGTCGTTCGCCGTTAGTCGTTAATGATTCGTTTATGTTTAGGTAAACCACAAAAAACTATTTAGCTTTGTAACAAACCTTTGACGAAGTGGTCACTGCAGACACGAGCATTAGCGAATTCTGCTCCTCCCGACCGCAGACGTAGGTTTGTAATCCACTTTTTACGGCGTTGTTCTGTCGGCTTTTCCCATTTCTGACCTTTGTGGACGACTATATTCAGTACTCTAAAAAAATCGCTTTTCCTTCTCTCGGTTAGAACGATTGGCACAGCCGTAAACTACACAACACATGGGCATTTTCCTCCAGTCAGTTCACTTCCTGCCCTCCATCTGATTTTGCTTGCTGACAAACGTAGCCCTGTGACGTCACGTGAAACCCAGATATTGGCGTCATCATTATACAAGAAATAATTTATGCTTCATTAAAAACAAATGCATTGGAGATGAATGCTTCCAGAATCTGGACACATGCATTGGTCTGATGTAAATTTCTCCCTTTTCTTTCATATGAAAGTTTTCACTTTTGTAGGCCTCCAGTTTCCACAGTTCTCCTATTGATACTTTGACATCACACTGGGGGTGTTCTCCATGTATCTCTATAGTAGAATGTTCATCCGTTACCATGGTGACACTGTGCACAAATTAGCAAACACTGTCAAAAAAAAAGAAAAGAAAAGAAAACATGCAAAATGAATTTAAACAACATTTTCAGAAGTGTGTGGTCAAAACGAGCATACATTAACAATGATGAAAATCATTGTCATGCTAAATGGCTAATGTTTGCTAACTTGTGACTGTAATATTGTTTGAGAGGGACGTGTTTAACAGCACAAATCAACTCATCTGTTGTAGTTTCAGCGAGGGTTAGTTTAGTTTATTTATCTATCAGAGACAATGCACATAAAAGCATTAACCTACACAGAGAGGCAATGTGTTTGTGTTTCACAGCTGTTTTACACCTCCCATTGTTAATTTATTCAAAACGTTTTCCATTGGTCATTTTACATGATTGCACATAAAAAACATTTATGGATGTCCATCCTTTGTATGTGTGGATTACTTAGTTGTTACCAATATTTGTTAAAATTGAATGTCATAGCACCTTCACAAATATATACAGTGAAAAAAATGTAAACATGCCCGAAACCAATTTTACCAACTGTATATCATCTATTTGAAAGTACTGGAGTAATAAAGCTGAGTGCTGTGTTGATAGGTGCCATGTTACTCCTATGGCCAGAAGCTGTCCAAGCTGGCTATTCTCCGCATCGCCTGCAACTACATCTTGTCCTTGGCTCAGCTAGCCGAGCTGGACTACAGCTCAGAGCAGAACAAGCGCAGCTTCTCCCACTGTGTGGAACAGTGCACCCGCACCCTGCAGGCCGAGGGCCGCAGCAAGAAGAAAAAGGTTCAGTCCTCACTCTCCTCATCTTAGTATTAAGAACACTGGTCCCTGTGTCACAGCTCAAGTCTCTTTAGCAGCATGAGAATGTAGTCCCTGAGCGGCAGCAAAGCTCTCTTAAAGTATCCGTAAGCCCCCGAATTTTGGTGGAGAGAGAACAGGGGGGCAGAGGAAAAGGGACCAAGGACATAACGGGAGGTGGGAAGAAAACTTAGTATGTGGACAAACACCTGTTTGTCATGTGAAAATGCAAATACTTTTAAATAGTTATGTCATATGAGGAGTTACTAACTTAAGTTAATAAGTGCAGAGAGACATCTGTGTTAAAATCATTTCAGTTGCAAATCTATTAATTGTCTTAGTCTGTGCTAAAAAATTAATAGTATTTGTAGACTTATGGCATTTTACATGAATATAAAAATGGTATGGAGAGCAGAAGCTTAAAGCTGTTTCCTTGTTCAGCACTCAGCGTGTGTGTCCCAGACACCAGATGTTTGGAGCTGAGGGGAAGTGGAGCTGGCGCCATGAAGGGCAGAGGGCAGGGAGAAGGCACGCGAGCTCTAACCGCACACATACAGACATACACAGCAGCACACACTTGGGACATTCCCAGCACTGCTTTGCCTCAGAGCATCTGTTTGAGCACTTTTAAATGAGGGCAGAAAGAGGAGTCATTGTGGGACAGCAGCAGCTGTACATTAAGTTGTACTTTTAGATGTGTTAAGTTTTGGAGACAATAAGTTTTAGTCCAATTCACTATATACTTTTGTGGGAATTTTGGGGGGATTTGCTAAATTATATATTTTTGGAAAGGTTATTGTGTATGGAGTCAGAAAATCAATGTTTGCATTTGCCCAGATGTCAGATGTCGGCCATATTGAATTTGTAAAAAAAATTGCCACCAAAATTGAAATTTGAAATATCTCAGCCTCTGAATAAGTTGAAATGTTGATTTTAATTGCTAAACCCACATTTTCAGGGTCAGGGAATCAAATTGGTGCTAGTTATAAAGTTGTAAGACTTACCCACATTAACCCTTAGATGCATAAGTGGGTCAAAAATGACCCGGTTTGGTTGTTTTCTTGCAATTTCATTGTAATATTCACATGTAATACTCCATGATCCTCCAAAAAACATGTTTGTTTGTTTGTTTGTTTTTAATCCTGTTGAAATACATCAACAATGTGGGTAAAACAAACTATAAACATCACATGCAGTTGGTCAGAAAACTCAGAGTTTAAAAGTAGGTCACATAAAATGTGGATGTTGAATGTCAACAAACACATTTAGACACAATATGATTATGCAACCTTTTTAATTAGACATTTTCTATACATCATCATCATCACTTTCATACAACCGTAGACTGTATATATGAGTAGACAGAGCTAAAGCTGTAGCCGCCGTGTGCCAAATAGGAAGTTCTCCAGGAGGCTCTTCTGGCTCCTTCTGACTCTGGCTCCAATTAACTTACATTAGAATCTTGTGGCTCCTCTCTGTGCAACTGCTGCTGTGAGCCTCATCATTTTGGTCTTAAAATGTTCATATTAACCCCCTCTACATGAGCCTGATTTTTTAATTTTTTTTCTCTATTTTGTTCGTCAAAAAAATCCTATTCATAATATAGAGTCTTGGCTCCTGTAACTGTGGGCATCATGAGCCTCATTTGAGTGACGTTGAACTCTGTGGGTCACACTCGCTTAGTCCACTTCTTTTATAAAGTTTATGCATACAACACGGCTTGGGAATCATCATCATTCTGGCACTGGCTGCTGCACTGACACGTGTCGGTACAGGATAAATCTGTAGTTTCTGGTGTGTAGTTCTGCAGTCGCCTTTGTACTTAGCTGAGGTGAACCGTGGACCTGGACTCTGGGTCCTCACTAGAACCAACTACTGCTATCATGACATCATTTATTTAAAGAAAACTAAATGAAGCAAATCGCACATGCACTTACTTCATATATTTGTTTAATAAATATTAGCTACTGTTCAACAAGATGATCCAGTCCACACAGAGGGGGTCTCACTCCCAGAGGGAACAAGTAGTAGTAGTAGACATTGAGGACAGTTACAAGTATCTTGGGATCCCACAAGCAAATGGTGACCTTGAAGAGGCAACAAGGAAAGTGGCTACGGCCAAATACTTGCAACAAGTAAGGCAAGTTGGGGTCAAGGGTCAAGGAAACCAATGGTGCTACCATTGGTTTCCTTGACCCTTACAATGTGGGTTTAGCAGTAAAAAGCAACATTTCAGTTTTTCAGAAGTCGAGATACTAAAATTTTTACATTTACAGCGGCCATTTTTAAAACTTCAGTATGGCCGCCATATAGACATCTGGACAAATGCAAACATTGATTTTCTGACTCCATATACTATAACCTTTCCAAAAATATATAGTTTAGCAAATCCCTAAAAATTACCACTAAGGTTAAAATATGAATATAAGGAACCGGACTATTTATTGTTATATTATTGTTTGAATGGCGGCGCGCAAAAACGCAGCTGCTTCAGCTCTCTGTATCTGTGCTCCTTTTTTGTGATTTTTTTGTATTTGTTCTTTGCATCTTGTACATAAAATGGACTTTAATTCTCTGGGCATCGGTTTCCAATAGAAGATCTGCAGCGATTTTCGCTGTCTTCACAACATACCGGACAAGATAGCGAGACCAGCGGCCTCTTCGTGGATTGTTATTGGGTCTGGCAAGCGACGTAGACAGTGACGCGAGAGGAAGCAAAAATGTCGCTGCAGAGCTGGCTTGTTGTCTAAGCCAAGGAAACAACCCCTAAAACCTCCTCTGCCAAGCCTCTATCTCTCAAACGCCAGATCCATGCCTGGTAACCGCCACGTTTGAGAATGCTGTGCGCTTATCATAACAGAAACATGGTCACACGAACAAATCCCCAATGCAGCGGTGCAGCTAACTGGACGTACGCTACACAGATTGGACAGAAACAGAGACTCCGGGAAAAACAGAGGAGGGGGGCTCTGCATCTACGTGCATGAAGGTTGGTGTAACAACAGCACTGTATTGGACAGACACTGTTCTCCTGACCTAGAGTTCATAAGAGATGCAGACCCTTCTTTCTGCCTAGAGAACTAACGGCTGTTGTTATTACTGCAGTCTATATTCCTCCAGAAGCTAATGTTAAAACAGCTCTCTCTGTTCTACTGAACACCATTAACAATCATCAGCATGCCTATCCAAACGGTGTTCACATCATTACATCATTATAAGGCAAATCTCAAAACTTTTTGCCAAACGTTTTGCCAAAATTCCACCAACATTTGAAATGCCCAGAGAACACTCTGGACCATGTATATTCTAACATCAAGCATGGATACAGAGCCATACCCCTGCCCCTGGGCCAGTCAGACCATCTCTCCCTGTTCCTCACCCCTGCATACACCCCCCCTCAGCAGACAAAAAAAGCCAGAAAGACTGTCCATTACCTCCTGGCCAGATGACACCCTCTCCCAACTGCAGGTCTGCTTTGATCAAACACAGTGGGAAGTTCCATCTTGAAGACCTGGCTACATTCACAGATACAGTACTGTCTTTCATCAAGTTCTGCATTGGTATGGTCACTGCAGTAAAGATCATCCGGGTGTTCCCAAACCAAAAACCATGGATGACTAGCCAGGTCCGCATGTCTCTCCGGGCTCGGGACGCAGCCTTCAGATCGGGTGACAGAGAATTATACAGCACCGTTCACACCAACCTGAGGAAAAGCATCAAGGCTGTTAAAGCAGACCAAAAGAGGAAGGTAGAGGAGCAACTCAACAACCCCCGGCAGGTGTGGCAGAGCATACAGTCCATCCTAACTACAGAGACTGTGCTGTGACATCAGGGGACTCAGATGTGGCACTGCCAGAGGAACTGAACATCTTATTTTCCTGCTGTGAATCCCAGGCACAGCACTCAGTCACACCACTCCAACCCGCACTACAATCAATCTCCAACACCCCCCCACTCACTGTTGAGGTGGAGAATGTGAGGCGGGTGCTCCGAGCCGTTAATCCCAGAAAGGCTACAGGCCCGGATGGACTACCAGGGAAAGTGCTCAAGACATGTGCTGACCCGCTAGCACAGGTCTTCACTGACATTATTAACCTGTCACTGAACTGTCACTCAGTTTGCATACCGGTCAAACAGATCCACGGAAGATGCAATAGCCATCGCTCTCCACTCTGCGCTGAACCATTTGGAGAAACAGGAGACCTATGTCAGGATGCTCTTCATTGACCACAGCTCAACTTTTAACACAACAATACCAGACATCCTGATCCCCAAGTTGGCTAACCTGGGGCTCCCACCATCCACCTGCTCCTGGATTAAGGACTTTCTGGTCAGTCGACCCCAGCAGGTGAAACTGGGTCCCCAACTGTCATCCACCTGCACTCTCAGCACCGGCTCTTCCCAGGGCTGTGTGCTGAGCCCACTCCTCTACTCGCTCTACACTCACAACTGCAGTCCCACCCACCCAGAGAACATCATTGTCAAATTTGCTGATGACACGACAGTGGTGGGGCTGAGGGGAATGAAACGCCCTACAGAGATGAGGTCCTGAAACTCAGCGAGTGATGTGCAAATAATAACTTGGCACTGAACATCACCAAGACTAAGGAACTCATCCTGGACTTTCGGCGGAACATTGCCACCCTCGCCCCCCTGTACATCAACGACCACAGTGTGGAGCGAGTAGAGACCTTCAAATTCCTTGGGGTTCACGTCTCTGCGGATCTCTCCTGGTCAGTCAACACCTCAGCACTGGTCAAAAAGGCCCAACAGCGACTGCACTTCCTGAGGTGCTCAGGAAGGAGCAACTAAACACAAGCTGCTGGTGACCTTCTATTGTTCCACCATTGGTCACCTGCTGACCTCTGCTGTGACAGTGTGGCACTCTCGCTGCACAGAGGCTGACAGGAAGCATCTGCAGAAGGTGACCAACACTGCACAGGACATTATTGGCTGCTCCTCTGCCTTCCTTAAGAACATTATACAACTCCCGCTGTCTCAGCAGAACGAGGAAAATCATTAAGGACAATACACACCCTGGATTTCCACCTCTTCAACCTGCTGTCTTCTGGCAGGTACTTCAGGTCAATTCCAGCGAGGACCAACAGACTCAGGGACAACTTCTTCCCCAAAGCTGTCACCAGGCTTAATGAGAACTGTTAATTTGTTTAATTAATTAATTAATTAATTAATTCTTGCACTTTGACGGAGCAGCTCTGAATTTCATTATACAGTACTATTGTATAATGACAATAAAGGCTTTCTGTTCTATTTAGAGAAGTACCCATGCCCCTTCCCTGTCCATAATGTGGTTATTCATTTTGCTGTCATCTGATGTAGCTTATTTTAGATTGAAATATATGGACTAACTTATTGTATTTGTTAATTTAAAAAGAGGACAAAAATAAAGTTTTTGGATTTGTAGCTTAAGTCACCAGTAGTTAATTCATGGGCAGAAGAACTGATCTGATTGAGGGTATGTTGAACTTACTCTGAAGTCTTTTCATGAAAACAACAATGAATCATGATACAGCATTTTAGAAGACCAGGGTGTTAACATGTGACTTGACAGGAAGTATCTGATAAAAAGAGTTTGAGACCATTCTTCAGTGCAGATAGTTTGTAAACTGTTCATATTATGTCCATACTGATGAACACTTCTCCTATTACGTTATTTCTTGATCCATGTTACAATGTTGTTTCTTCACCAAAAGTTCACATTCACCAAAAGGAGTATTATTTATATTTAAGCTGTGTTCTTCTCTCAAATGGAGAACGCACTGTTCCACTTTATGATGTCATGTTTCACTGTGTTTTTAAATTCCATACACCTCCACTAGAATTATTTGCATGAGTTCAGCCCTGGAATTTCCAGTCTCTACTAAACAAAAGGTTAAAGGTGGAACAGAGCATTTTGAGCTTTGGAGATGTAGCCAGACTATAAAGGGATACTGAAATATGTGTGCATGAAACAAAACACAACATTCTAAGATGGCTTAAAGCTCTCAAGAGTCAATTTTGCATACATAGGACCTGTAAAGGACCTGTATCTAGCATGTGCTCTTACTGAAAAAAAGGGAACTTTCTGCAGATGCTGCACTAGCACTAATTAATGATTGGCTGTAGGTGCTGGGATTTCAGTAGTGACCATTCAAATCAGAGAGAGTTTAATTCAGCAGTGAAACTGGCAACCCAAATGAGAAACTCTTCTCAGACTCATTCTCCTTTCTGATTAGATAACTTTTGAGAATCAAAACAAAAAATTGTAACATAAATAAGTGGGACATTTGCAATTAAGAATAAATCAGTATTGCAATTGTTATCAGTAAAAGCTATATCTGATATGAACATGTTTACCTCATGTCTGTTGACACAGATATGTCAATTTTATTAAATTGAAAATTAAAATATTACATACATTTCCTATGATTTTTTTTCTTTTTTTAAGGGTTTTTTAGGATTTTATAGTATTTAGGTCATGGAACTGTGATGAGGACCACAGTAAGCCATTTTGAGTATGGGAAAAGTATGGGATATGGGATATGTATTGGATCATTATCCTGCTAGAACATCGGCCTACCTTAGTGGCACTGGCAAAATACAAATGTAATAATAAATAAATAAATGCACCTATTTGACTTGTTCAAAAACACCTTCCCTACTAGTGGGATAGACTGGTAACAGGCAAAAGCAGGAATATCAGAGGCCATAAATGAATATAAAATTTTATTACAGTATGGAATAAAGGATCAATATCTGTGACTGCGCAGAAGTCACAGATATTGATCTCTGTATTGTTTAACTGCTGTACTGTGAGTGTGTGTTAATGAGTTCACTCACCAACATTCATTAACTGTCTATTAACTGTCTATTTCTACTGCAGTGCAGCTGTATAAAAAAGGTTGTCTAAAAGACCTATATTTGTTATATATTAACTCCAGTATGCATGTATTTGTGTGTGAATTTAGTTTCTGTGGTAGATCCCAGATTATGTTGTCATTGGTCTGATTGATCGATTTTATTGGGACAAAATATTACAAATACAACAGTGTCGGCCTTTATTTCAAATTGTAATTTGGGATTTGTATTAATTTTACATATATGGTTGTTACAACCCAGGTGTTTGCTGGTCTTCGTGGTAAAGTATCCTATATCAACTGTTGTTATTTCCTGAGGCATGATACCAGCTAATAGGTGACACTTCATCACCAAAAACAGCAACAGTTCTACAGATGGCTCGCAACTAGCAGCATAAAAATGTCACATCTTTAGCTGGTCTTCTACTCCCTGGTCGTAGCTGAAAATCAGATGAATGTTAACAAAGTAGTGGTTCATGTAATTTTGGACACCTGGATGCTTCTTGCGTTCAAATTATTAATCTATAGGTTAACACAAGAATTTTCATTATTGTTGCTTTATGTATTTGTGTGTGATTAGGTGGTAGGTATACTGACATCTTTATCATGCCTTGTGTGTTGCAGATGGAGAGGATGCTAGACAATGTTTGACCTTTTCGGACTACACATGAGACTATGCTGCAGCTAGACTTTCATTGTCGGAAATTCATACTATTCTGAGGACTCATGTATGAGTGTCTTTTAAAGTTTAGAAAAGGCTTCACAATTATAAGGGCATGAGACTAGGGGGGTAAAGTTTACCCAGTGCAGGGACGGGGCCCTCACAAAGCCTCTTATGTGTATTTTATATGAGACAACTTGTAGTGCCGGCCACCAAGAATGATTTGTACTCAGGGCACAAAATTTGGTGCTATACTCCCGTCTATATGCTGCCTCTAAACCTGCACTGTGGAAAGATACATCGGATCTGCTCATCATACTTTTGTGTGGGTGTCCACAATGCCCAGCCTGTTCTGCTGACAACCTTGGAGAACAAAAAGGCAAGGCCACAGCTATAGGAGCGGATCAACCACAAATTTTATACTCAGACTTCTGCACCTGTCTCTGGCTGTTGCCTATAGCAATATCCCAGTGTGCTGAACCCCCAGGAAGCAGTCCAGCTACTGATGTCACACTCTGCACAGTCCTACTCATGTAAAACAAATAATGGACAATGAAATAATACATGCTCTAAGCCTGCATTTCATATTTGCTTTTTAAAATTTGTTTTCAAATTGAAAAATGACAAAAAAAGTCTTGTGAATCAATAAAAAAATAAATAAATGAATCAAGTTTTTAAAGCATTACAATGATTCAGATGTAAGGTACTGAACGTTCTCCCTTCTTTGTTTACTTATTGCCAGAAGCTAAAATAAGAAAAGTTGTGACCAGACTGACTGTACTTTGCCCATTTCATTTTGTACATTTCAGAAAAGCTGTGACGCAGTATGCCTTTTCACTTCCATCCATAAATAAATACATTTCTCTGTGTGTTTCTCTGCACCCAACGTTCCCCTTTTACAGCATCATAATGAGAGCAAGATATTGAGATTGAATTCAAACAAAGGATTTCTGAGCACTCCTAATGCCATTTTATATTTATATTTATATATAGGTTTTCAGGAAAATCTCATGAGATTCCTTTCTCTTACATATTTTGAAAGAAGTATTTTACATAAATGGTGAGTGGGATAAAGAAACCAAGAGTTTCAGCCCTTATTTTGTTTACTCTGATATGTTTATTGCTTCATCAATATTCTCCACAATGCATTGTGGGTTTTACTCCCATTGAACAATCTGACACTTTAAAGTATATTATTCACATGTATTACAAAATACATTGTTAACCCTCTCCAGGCAGGCGTTGCAGATTTGCAACAGCTAAATGCTGAATTACCTACTTACTCCACATCCATATTTTATGAGCTTTTTTAACTCAGGAGCCTTTTCTCCCATCCATGCTGATAAACGTGGGCAATGCAGACTGTGCAAGAATGGCTACACGCAAACGACCTGCCAGAAGTGCAAAATACTTTTTTTTTTTTTTTTTTTTTTTTTTTACAAATGATAAAAAAGTCAGGATTGTATATTACTACCCAATATTATAATTTTCCCCAAATATCAGATTTTTCCTGATACTAAAAATTTAATTTGAGCCTGAGAGGGTTAATTCAGTGTTCTTCAATCTGATCAGCTGTATCATAATTATCCTTGAATACAAATCAGTGCTATGTTTGTTGTCCTTCAGTTTGAACAGTTCAGTTCAAACTAGCCTCATAACTTTAAAGGACCCATCTCATGCAAAATCAACTTTTCAGAGCTTTCTACCTTCTAAGAGTGATGTGTGGGCCTTGTATATGTTGCCCAAGTGTTTTTTAGATTGATTCGGTGTTTTTTTTAACAAATTGCAGCGTATTTCTGCCACCGTCCCACATGACAACGAACGAAAGCTGCTACAACGATGATGCGGCCAGCTACACCTACGACGCGTTTGACGTAGCAGAAAGCGCTTCACATACGCCCCCCTACCCCACTCCACCCCCTCGGCCCCGCCTCCACCCTGCCTCCACCCACTCACACACCATCCTGCGTCTGCACCGTACAGGTCTGCTGTTCTGCGTTATTTATCTTTATTTTTCGCTTCAAACTGGCTTTTTGTAACCATGTCCTCATGGAGAAAGTGCGTATTTGGCTGCAATGGCAAGTCGAAATTATTTGGCATACCAACAGAAGAAGCAAGGCGTGCTAAGTGGCTGGAGTTTATGTTCTGGGAACACAGACAAAAAGGTCCCCAAGAATATTTTTGTTTGCGAGTGACACTTCACCTAAGACTGCTTCGAGAGCTACGGGTATTTTAAAAGTGGACTTACAACGAAGCAGAAGCTACACTTTGGAAAAGGACGCTGTTCCTACGATACCGGGGTCCAGTGATGGCGATCCTAGAGCTGTAAGTTTACCGCTTGTCCACATAAACACCTAAACAAAAGCGACAGCATAAGCTAATTGTCATACACTGCAGTGTACACGATATAATAAGTTAATCGTTTATTAACACTTTACCAATCAGTAATGTTCAGCTGATGTCGAGGCGGTGGTTGCGCTTCGTGCAGCTCAAAGTCCTCATCCGATTCTGGGTCCAACACATATGGCTGAACGCGCTGTATCGTCATGAGTTTATTCCTGCCGCTATCAGACTGCTAAACGGGTTGTGTGGCAGCAGGGCCACAGGGTGCACGCCTGTCTCCCCCTCCCTCCCTGAGATGGGCGGCTCACTCAGAGCCTACGTCACGTTTGGAGGGCGGAGCTCCTTGTTGTGCCATTACTCTGTTTTTACCCTCTGCTACAAACTTAAACATGCACAGTCTTGATCTTGATCGATGTTTCTTCTGCTCAATAAATAATGTCTGTGAAGTGATGACATATATTTGACAGTAAAATTACATCTGTGAATTCGTACTGATGAAAGCGTAATCGTAAATTTTAATTTCGTGATTGTAATTCTTGACGTCGCAATTTTTCATTTCGTATTCTGATGGATAAAATACACACAGTATATTTTATGTACGACTGGACTCATTTAAGAGTTTACAAATATTTATTTTATGTGCAACTACAGCCAAATCTGCATGGATTTCTATTCTATGCGCACAAATATTTTTGAAAGCTTTCTTACTCCATATGGAACCAACAAAAGTGGCTTCTTGAATGTGAGTAAGTCAAGTTAACCCTTGTGCTCTCCTCAAATTAAATGTGGAAGCGTACTGCTCTGGGGTTAAAACAGATTCCAAATATAAATGACCACCAGAGAGAGACAAAGCAAGCCAAAGTGTGTCAGATGAGTCCAGTATATTGTAATAATAATGATAATAATGATGATAATAATAATAATGATGATAATAATAATAATAATGATACTACTACTACTACTACTACTACTACTAATAATAATAATAATCCAATATACTGGACTCATCTGACACACTTTGGCTCGCTTTGTCTCCCTCTGGTGGTTATTTAGAGAGAGTGAGGGTTTTTTTTTTTTTAAATGTGGAAGCGTTCTCCTCTGGGGTTAAAACAGATTTCAAATAACCACCAGAGGGAGACAAAGCGAGCCAAAGTGTGTCAGATGAGTCCAGTATATTGGATTATTATTATTATTATTATTATTATTATTATTATTATTATTATTATTATTATTATTATTATTATTATTATTATTATTATTATGCATAATAATGATTATAAGTGCATATTGTTGGTACTGCAAAACTGTTACAAGTTGTAAAATTATTCATATATTTATTTATTTATTACATTTTGTAACACATACAAAAGGTTAAAAACAAAGAAAATCATTTATTGGGGATTGAATTACAAAACATATAAATAATAATAATATGCACATGAAATGACACAATGTCACAACAACAACAAGAAGAGGCAATAGGAGCTCTGGGCAAGTCCTGCCAAGTGCTGCAACATGAGCACAGACGTCACAAGACGTCAGAGGCTTTTCTTTGACTGTATTTTAGCAGGTTGTTGTTGTTATTGTTGTCGTCGTCGTCAAGGTGACAGGATGACATTTCTTCATTCACAGGTATGAATCTTATCTCATAACATGTCCTCATACACATGATGTGGAGCAGAAGGAGTGCGATGTCCTGGTCCATGTTTTGCAAGAAAACTAATGACCTATAAGATAAATAAGTGCAATTTAAACTTGGGCTATAAATTGTATAACAAGAAACTAGCACAGGCGCGCGCGCGCGCACACACACACACACACACACACACAGAGTGAGAGAGGAGGAAAAAATAAATAAATAAAGATTTACTTGTACCTTTCCCAGTGTTAGAAGAATCAAAGCTAAACCGAACAATATTAGCAGCAGCAGCAGTGCAGATGAGGAGATGACAGCAGATGACAGAAGAAGCATTTCTTTTACATGGGCCCAATTGTTGTATGTGTGACTTGTACTTGTACTTGTACTTGTAGATGGTGCAGCAGATGGAGGCTTGTCTCCTACAAGCACAATATCATTTGGAAGTCTATGTCCCGCATCCACCGTTAGTCATTATCCTCGGCGTTGCGGCCATAGTTGCTGTAGTGGTGTCGGTGGTAGTAGTAGTAGTAGTAGTAGTAGTAGTAGTAGTAGTAGGAGTAGTAGGAGTAGTAGTAGGAGTAGTAGTAGTAGTAGCTTTTGTCTTTGTCATGTGGTCATTGTGTTCTGTAGGCTTGAGGGCTGCAGCACCTTTGAACAGATCTAGATATTAGCATAAATCCAAATGACAAATAAAATAAAAAAAACAATGCTTTATGAATTCTGTATCATAATCCACCAAAGCTTTTGTGGCACGCACACACACACACACACACACACACACACACACACACACACACATACACACACTTAAATAACCAAGTAACATGGTAAAATAATGAATGTGGTTCGACATTGAGAATCATGCTATTCTGGCTAGTTCTGAGTCTGTCGTTCACAAAATAGGAAGCTCTACACCATATCACAAGTCCACGATGGGCTTCTGTCACAGTCATGTTCTGTGTGACTGTAGTGCTATATGTCCCCTGTGCATTGGTGACTATTTTCTGGTCTGTAAGAACAAAAATCCCATGGTTTTGCCCGAGGTTCCACATGAGCCGAGGAAAGTCAAGAGGACAGAGTGTGACAGCTGAGCAAGGTAATAGTCACCACCTCTGTCTCTCTCTGTTCACCACAGACTTTTAGTGTGGGACTCCAGGGAGAGTCTGGGGAGAGTAAAAGAAAAACAAAAGAAAAACAAACAAACAAACACACACACACACACACCCTACTACTACTACTACTACTACTACTACTGTCTGTAAAGACACCACATAAACACATAGTAACATTAGACCTTTTGCCCTGAGAAAGGAGTTACAGATCATCAGTGTGCTAAATCATTTTCTGCTGTAAATGTGTGCGTGTGTGTGTGTGTGTGTGTGTACATCAGATCAGAGTGAGTGAGGTGCTATTTGTAATTACATTGTTTTATTTTCTCATTTAATGAGGATAATCAACATCAAAAGGTTTTAATGTCACTAAACTCGGAAGAAATAGGAAAAGGGTCATCGTGGTCGTGGTCGTTGTCGTCTTCCCTCTGACTGTTATGTGAAGAGGGTCACAAACAGCTGTGGCTGAGAAATCTCTGCTCACTACTCTGAAGTAATAGTTGCCTTCATCTGCTTTTTTTAAGTCATAAAACACAGTGTTGCAGGATTTGTTTTGTAAGTGCCCAGTGATATTCATGGGATAAGACTTGACTCCGCTGACTGAAAAGACATGCGGTAGACTTGCTATAGAACTATTTTTAAGCCAAACACCCACTATAGGCTGTGTAATCCATGTACTGTTGATTTGAGGTGAGGATGTATATGTGCATGGAATCTGCAAACAGGAGCCTCTCAAAACCTCCAGCC